GACTGGCAAGACATCCTCCTCGATAAGGAGACAGATACCTAAGGAGGAGGCTGGACTTGCCAGGGAGGCTGGGGTAGTGCGGGCCAAGCCTGGAATAGCTTTGAGATTGAGAAAGACTACGATTTGAACCCTGGGTGATGGCTTAGGTGATTTGGATGAGTGTCTTAAACTATGTTCCGGGAATAAGTCGTATTCTCAGTATGTTTCTTAGAGTTTTGTGACCTAATGAGTTTGGGAACTTGGGCTTCTCAGATTATGTAATACGCTGATGTGCGTTACCACCCAGGAGGGACATGCAGTGTTCCTAAACTTAGAACCCCAGAACATTGCAGGTTGCATCTCATCAGTTAATAAGAAAAATGATAAGTTTGTTACGAGATGAAATGAGACGAGGGGTGCAGAGAGCATCACGCTCAGTGCCTAGCCCCTAACAGATGCGCAGTAAGGGTGGGTCCTCTCCCCAGCTAGGGAAAACAGACAAGGACTTTGACTCTTCTCTGGTCTCCACAGGCGGCTGAGTGACAGCCCCTCAGTGAAAAAGGAGAGCGAGCTGCCTCGCAGGGTGAATTCTGCCTCCTCAGCCAATCCTCCTGCTGAAGTGGACCCTGACACCATCCTGAAGGCACTCTTCAAGTCCTCAGGGGCCTCTGTGACCACACAGCCCACAGAATTCAAAATCAAACTTTGAGCAGGGGAGTGAGGCAGCCACAACGGGGGCAGAGGAGGGTGGCTCTGTTTCCCAAGGCAAAGCCCGTGACCAGTGGGCCATCGGACTGGAGACCCCCGAGTGTGGAAAGGGTTGCCGGGGTAGAGAGCTTCCTCACTGGATGGGACCTTCCTTTCTGTGTTCTGCCCTGTGCTCTCCTGTACGTTAACAGTTCCGTAGTGTGTGTTCTCTCCTCTCCACCTCATCACCAAGGTAGGCTTATGTTTCTCAGAGTGTGCCTCCCCTGGCCTCAGCCCCAAGCTGATTGCTTCTCTGGAAATGGTACGCTAAATTCTCTGGGTGGTTGTGTTGTGGTCCCATGAGATGTGGGGCGGGAGCTGGTTGAAGGACACTCCTTTTTCCAGGGACTGAGGGGTTGCCTTTCCTTTCTGGTTTTTAAGCTTTTCAAACAAAGGAGGGAATGGAAACCTCTGCTTTCCTAATGGGAGCCAGGTCTGCTTAAGAGCTGTGCCGCTCACCCACCTGGCCACCAGTGGAGGTGGCATAGCTGGGGATCAGGTCACAGGCTTCTTTTCCTCTCACCACTGGCTCCCGGCCTGGCTAGGTGCAAGGGCAGGATGAGGCGCTGCTCTGGGAGGGAGAGTGCACCCCCAGCTCTTGGTTTGAGAGCCCGCGTTGCCTCACCCCACCCAGAGCAAATTCTTAAGAGTCCACGTTTCTTTTTTCCTGGAGTTGTGCTGAATGCCCCACCCCAGTTCTCTTGGCCTTCTGGGTGTCGCTGCCAGGAGGGGCTCGCACTGTTAACTCTCCAGCTCTCACCTAGCATGGCGCTCATCACGCCCTGGTTTTGGTGCAAATGCCAGCTTCCTTCCAGTCTGGCCGCACAAAGGCTCTGCCTCCCATTCTACAACACTGGGTTTGGGGGATTACGTGAGTGGGAGGTGCTGATGTGCTCCCGGCTCTTCCTTTCTGGCCTCAGTAGTCTACAGGTCAATAGTCAGGGATGGCAGGAGGCATCCAGCTGCCACCAAGGGGCACTGTCCCCACTTTTGTGAGTGACCCATCCGTCCATGCAGAGGGGTATTTTCCTGCCTTGGCAGTGGGGAAGGTGGTGGAATGGGGGAGGGGGTACACTAGGGGACCGTTTCCCCAGCGTGGGGCAAAGCTATAGAACCCAGGGGCTGTCCCTGAATACCAGGGCAGCGTTGCTCCGGGTGTTGTGTGTCATTTAGCAGTCCCCTGCTGGTTGCGACTGCAAAGGGAATGCAGGCTCGTGCAGAGCTGGAGCACGTTGGGGAGTAGGATTCTGGGCGCTCTACAAAGTCAGCAGCAAGTGCTGTGGAAGGCACAAGCCTAGAGAGTACAGGGAACCTGAGACAGTAGGAGCTTCTCAGGACCTGCTTGAGGCTGGCCCAGTGAAGTAGAGCTTAGGAACTCGTGTTTCCACAGTTAACATCTGCCAGGCGGGAAGGACCCAGAGTTTGAGCCCAGCTTTAGTCCTCAGGCTCTGAGGCTGCCTGGGCCGAGGAGGTCCAAGGAGGGCCTGATGGTGCTCCACTCTCTGGCTCTTTAAAGAAAGCCACAGTTTTCCTCTTGCCTGCTTCCAGTGGGTACAGACTTCCTTCTCTTTAGCAGCTGGAAGACATTCCTCCCACGCTTTACTCTTCCTGGCCCAAGAGAGCACCCCGGAGGCAGTAGGACCTGATTTCTCAGGTACTGGGAACAGTCAGGTCACTGCCTGGACGTGGCTTAGAGAAGGGCTGCTAAACACCCTGCCCAAGAGGGTCCCCCCACCTCTTACTCCCAGGCCAGGCTGCTCTGGTTCTTACAGGGTTTGACTGGGCCCAGCTGCAGCTGCCTGGCCATCTGGCGCTCAGTTTCTGGGTGACCATATGGTACATTGAGCGGGGAGGGGGCCTGTTTGCGCCTCTGCTCGAAAGCTGTCATCTTGGGAAACAGGGAAGAGAAGTCGGTGGGCCAGTCCTGTGTCCTTCTCCACCTCCCACTCCCCTACACTACCTGTCTGTGTCTCGTTCAGAAGGAGAGGAAGAGGCATTAAGGGATGGAGGGTGACTATGTATTACTTATCCATTTCTGAATAAACGTTTGTTATTCCTACCTTTGAGCTGTCATTTCTTAAAAGATGGTGTTAAGTGGCCTTAGTGGGACTTGGCACCAGCAAATGGGAATTTGCCTCCTTGTTTTACTGTGACCTTGGGCATTTACTCAGAGGACTTGCTGGACCTCAGTCTCTGCAGCTGAGAGACTGGTCACTACTGTCTGTGGAAGCATCTGACACAGGGACACAACACCTCCTGGGCCTGAAGTGCCTCGCTGGGTATTAAGAAGATGGCACAGAGTTAGGCAGCTGTCCACAGGGAACAAGGCAGCCAGACTATGGGCCTTTGCTTTGGTTTGAAGAAGTTACACACATGGGTGTAATTTACCTCCTAAATGAACTATGCACTAGAAAAGATGAGATTAGTTATTTATAGTTGGTTTTATTATGGTTCCACCAAGCACAACCCTGGACAATGTGTGTAAAATGAACATAAAACTGAGAGATGGGAAGAAGGCAGTCTGCCTGGGGACCTTACATATCCCAAACTAGGTGTGGGAGAAGCCAGAGCGAGGCCAGAGTGGCAGCCAGGGAGCGTGGGCCCACCGGCCTCCATGGTGAGGCTAGTAGGCCAGGGTGTTGCGGGGCCATAGCAGCCACCACACTGCTTGACTGCTACAATCAAAGGAAGATCGAAAACAAGTGAGCAGGAAGCCAATGCCAGCTGCTAGTGGGAAATCCCAGCCCCTCACCCAGCTTGCAGGGCTAAGCCCGTCCTCAGACCCAGGGGTCACTGAGAGGGAGGCTGGGTCCCCTTGAGAAGAATCCTATGATGCCACAGAAGATACTTGCGGTAGCAATACCCCAGTCCTTCCCCACAACCATTTCCAAGAAGTAACTACACCTGGAAAAGGAGAATACTAGATGTTTCGAGGGCTAATGGGCACATGGTGTGAGGGGACCTTTGGAGGCCAGATAAATGGAGTGGTTGGGCTTCTTCCCTGCTCTGTCTACACTACCCGCGCGGTGATGGCACAGTCTTTCAGAGCTCTCACTAACACCTATATGTTGCCACCTCCAGGTGTATTTCCCCAGGGCTGGTATCTGATGTTCAGTCTCATATCTATCTGCCCCCTTGGCATCTCCCGTGGGATGTCATAAAGGCATCTCAGCGTGCCGCCAGTGAGCTCCTGAGCCAGCCTCTCCTGCGGTCTCACCATCTCAGTAAACGGAGACACCATCCTCCGAGTTGCTCAGACTGCAGAGCTAGCGCCGTCCTGAACCTCTCTCTCTCCCTCACCTTGTTTATCCAGTGTGTCGGCAAATCCTGTTGGAATTCTTCAGAACATACCCAGAAACCCTCGCCTCGCACCACCTCTGCTGCCACTTCCCTGGCGACCAAGCCATCCTTTTTCCTCTGAATTACTCCAGTGGTGTCCTAAACCACCTCCTTGCTGCTGCCCTTGTCCTCTCGCAGTCTAAGTGCAATACAGCAGCCAAAGTGATACTGTTTACACATCACTCCTGTTTGCTCAAAATCCCACAGCGGCCCCCATCACTCAGGAACAGTTGAGGTGCTTCCAGTGGTCTACCAGACTCATAGGATTGGCCAAACCCCCGATCCCCTCACTGATTCTCCCTCTGGCTCACTGGGCTCTAGCCACACTGTCCTCCGTGCTATTTCTCTACCCCACAAGTCTGTTTCCAGCCTCAGGGCCTTTGCACTTGCCATTCCCTCTGCCCAGAATACTCCTTCCCCCACAAAACACCTCACATCCTTCAAGTATTTGTTCAAATGTCACTTCAGTGGGGCCTTGACTTTATTTAAAATTGTGACATATCCTTTAATTAATTTAAAATTGCCTCGTCCTCCTTCATTTTTCTCTTCGGCACTTTCCAGTAACACGTATGCATTACATTATGCTTCTTTGTGTTTATCGTTTCCTTCCTTCGTTGGAAGGTAAACTCCAGGAAGGCTGGGTGTTGCCTCACCTCCGCATCTAGCCTCTAGCGCTTAGGACAGTCAGTGCCTGCAGCACGCACCGCTGTTAGTGGAAGGAACGAATGAATGAACGGGTGTAGGGACGGAAAGTTGAGTTCGTACTCGTGAACGGCCTGGGCCAAGGCTGACATTCACTCCCACATTCGAGCGCTGATTTTATTCTAAGCAAATGAAGTGTCGGGGGCCTGGGAGGCAGGTCTGGAACCGGGAGGGCGGGGCCCCCACGCGGCGCCGTTGTCATGGAAGCGGACTCTCCCAGTGCTGAACTACAACTCCCAGCGACCACCGCGCTTCCGGTTGGCAAGATGGTGGCGCGCAGGAGGAAGCGTGCGGCGCGGGACCCTAAAGAAGGGATCCCGAGCCCGCCGGGCTACTCAGGTGAGGGGCTCCGAGACGCGAGGCAGGGGGACTGCCAGGAATCGCCGGGAAGTGACTGGGGGATGGGCGGTGGTCGGGGCCCTCAGGAGCAGCCGCACAGTGGGGTGTGAGCCCCGGCGGTCGCTGGCCCCGGGCCGGGCAGGTCGTGAGGCCGCGGGGACCCAAGGACCCACGCGGCGCACTTCTCTCGTCTGTCCACGCTGTCCCGGGGCGAGTCGTCTCCGTCCACACCCCCTCGCCCAAGTTAGCCCATCCCCTTCTCATCATATATTTGCAGTCCCTAGTTCAGCCCCTATCAGCTCTCACCAGGGTTGTATGTGCCCTCTTACTTGGTTCCCCTCCTTATTCTTGCTCCGGCTTTCAGTTCTCCACCAGTTGCCAGAATGTTTTTTCTAAAGTCAGATTTAAATCAGATCATGCCTGACACGTCTGCCGATACCCGCCTCCCGCGCCCAGTGGCTTTACAAGGTAGCTCCTAAACCGTAGCCAGACTTCTTACCTGCATGGCCCACGTGTTGTGGCTCGTGCTGACCTACAGCGTTTTCCACCCTCAGGATTTTTGAACTTGCTGTGCCCTCTTCCTCAAGCGGCTGTGTGCTGGACTGTTGCGCTGTGTCATTTGGTCTGAGCTTTAATGTAGCTCCCTCAAAGAGGCCTTCTCTGATGGTGTATTGAAAGAAGGCCTCTGCCTGCCACCTATCACCCTGTATGTTTCTTTCATATGTGATACAAGCTTGTTGTACGTTTTTGCTTGTTCATTGTCTTCTCCCTTTATTACAATGTGAGCTTCCTGAGGGCAGGGACTGCAGCTGTTTCCCCATTATACTCTAGGAAGGTGATGAGAAAAATAGAAAAACAGAAACAGTTCCTAGTCTTATGGGAGGATTAAAATTTCTGGGCATGCCAGTAATTAACCAAAGAATCCCTCCAGTGTAGACTTACATACTGTTAGAGAAGCTACGAAGGCACAGCCACGTGTGTCTAACCTGGCACAAAGGGATGGGAGTGATGTAAGGCTCTCCAGAGCTAAGACCTGAAGGTTTTTGGGAGGGAAGAGGTGGATGTGGCAGGTAGAGAAGACAGCAGTGAAGCCATGGCTTATTGGAGGAAGCGGGGGTACGGGAGGAGGATGCAAGAAGAGGCCACAGTGGCAGGCTGAATGGGTCACAGGGGGCTTCTAGCCATGCTTAGGATTTTGGTGTTTACCCCAAGAGCAGCGGGTTTGAGCTTCGCTCTCATTGCGCTTCCCTTCCGTGATAATCGCCTGTATACATACTCTCCCCACCAGCCTGGGAGCTCCAGCCTGGGCAGATTCTCTGTTCACTCTCACAGCCTGCACAGGCTTGGCCAAGGGGAAGGGCTCAGCAAAGGATAGACTGATGGACGGACGGCCTGGCAGATGGGACTAGAAAGGCAGGTGTGTGAATGCCCAGCTGGCCGCAGCCCTGGCTGGCCGGAATCTGACTACTCAGGCCATCCCTCCCCTCCCCCTTTTCCCTTCCAGCCATTCCAATCAAGTTCTCGGAGAAACAGCAGGCTTCTCATTACCTCTACGTGAGAGCGCACAGTGTCCGCGAGGGCACCAAGTCTACCTGGCCTCAGAAGCGCACCCTTTTTGTCCTCAATGTGCCCCCGTACTGCACAGAGGTGAGCTGCGGCTGGGAAGGGAGCTGTGGGCTCGGGATGGGGACTCCCATGGCACCCACCCAGTCCTTGGTGGTGAGATGGAAGCAGCTGAGGGGAGCCCTAGAGGAGAGTGTCAAGAGGGCTGCCTCTATCTCTTGTGACAGGAAACTGGCTCTTTTTAAAGACGTTTAAAAATATATAATTCTAAGGAGCCCGAAGCTTTTTTATTAATATATATCACCCAAAACTGTTTTAATTACACATTTTTTCTTGATTATAAAAGTGACACATGTCCATAATTTAAAAATAGGAAAAGTATAAGAAAATCAAAATTGCCTCTAATTCAACTATCTAGATACATCTGTTAATTTTTCTCACAGAAAACATTATATTTATTATTATGTTAATTTACAGAGAGAAACTAAGGGATTGCTGGATTTTAGATGAGTTTATTTTCAAAAATGAAATCACAATTTCTAAAAAATTCTTCTAAAGTTAGAAAGAAGTATTAAGAATAGAGGATGTCTTTTTTTTTTTTTTTTAACATGAGCCAGTTCCTGTAAGAGGGTGTCACTTTTAACCTTTATTGAAGTGCAGCAGAGGTGCAGAGAAAGGCCCGGCTCACGGGCATACAACTCTGAACACGCTTGTGTAATCAGCGGCCAGATGGAGAAACGTCAGCACTCCCCAGAAATCCCCGTGTCCCTCACGCACCAAGGACAACCGCCGTCGCGATTCTCATGGTGTAGATTTGTCTACTTCTGATTCAGGGACTGGAACTTAGTCGTCATATAAAATCAGAACAACACCAGAAATGTCCCCACCTGTCTTGTATGTCAGGTGGGAATGTCAAGCTCCGTGTCGTCCGTGAGGGAACAGGTCAGAGGACGTGGTACCCCAGGCTCTTCTCCAGGCCGGGCAGACGTGAGCTCCGAGTCCTTCAAGGGCTCTCATCCTCTGGCGGCAGCACCCGGGACAGAGGAAAGGCCCAGTGACATTCACTCTGCTTCCCTTCCCCATGCTAGGAAAGCCTGTCGCGCCTGCTGTCCCCCTGCGGCCCTGTCCAGTCTGTGGAGTTACAGGAGAAGCCAGACCTTGCCGAGAGCCCGAAGGAGTCAAAGTCAAAGTTTTTTTACCCCAAGCGTGTTCCGGTGAGCCTCCAAGTACTGGATCCCGCTAGAATGGGGCTGTGGGGTGGGGCTTGGGTGATGTCCCCCGTGCGTGAGAGGAGTTGGCAGTGGGAGCATTCCGCGCAGTCCAGGGCCAGTCCTTGCTGTGTGGATTGGGAGGCTGTCAGGGTGACAAGCCCCTGACTCGTTCCTGGATTTATCACATCCTTTAACGTCCTGCCTGGCTTTTTTCGTTGTCCTGTGTTAAAGCTTGAGGCCATCTCTGCTGGCTGCACCGAAGGGCCTCCCCTAGCTCCTCACCTGTTTCCCTGCTGCGGTAGAGTCTTCCATGGGCTTGGTGTCCTCATCTCCAGGAACACTGTTCTTCCCACATTTCCCTGTGGCTTCGAGCCCACACCTCTTGCTGGCACAGTGACATCTGTCTGTCCACCCCAGGCCTGGCTTCCATGAACCTGACCTGGCCCAGGGTGGGCCCCACTTTTCACTGTGTCCCTCCCATAACTGGAAGAAAGGCCTCCTATGGGTCCTTCTTCCTGGGGGAGGAGCTAGGAACAGGTGTCACTTCTAGCAAAAGTTGGTAACTAGGAGTATGGCTGTCCCTCACCTAGATTATGGGGTGACCTCTGGCTAGCCTATTATTGTCCCCCGGTCCAGCAACTGGTTAGGGTGAGAGCAGGTGTGGAGATCTTGTGCCAGTGCGGGGAAGGTCCCCACACATTGTGACATCTCTCTCTTCCCAGGGGTTCCAGGTAGCCTATGTGGTGTTCCAGAAGCCAGGCGGAGTGTCAGCTGCCTTGACCCTGAAGGGCCCTTTGCTGGTCTCTACAGAGAGTCATCCCGTGAAGAGTGGCATTCACAGTCAGTAACAGCGCTGGGGGCAGGCACCTACGTTTTGGCCCTGGGTTGGTGGGAAGCTCTGTAGGGACAGCGTCTGTGAATGTCACGAGCTGCACCCGCCCTCCCTGAGAGCAGTGTGTGGGAGGCCTGAGCAGGTGGGCCACTGGGCTGTGTCCGGGACACATCAAAGAGATGTCAGCCTGAGCCTTTGGCACTGAGCGGCACCAACACTCAGGGTGGTAGAGGTGAGGGCCGGCTTGCTGCCGCTGGAATCTTCCTTACCACCTGCACCCTGGGCCTCAAGTCTCCAGTCCCTGTGGCCCTTAGTAAGAAGATCCCAACTGGCCTGGGGTGGGCCCTGGGTGGGGCCCGAGTATCAGGCCTGAGGAACCGAGTTTCCCTGGCCCCTTTCTCCCTCAGAGTGGATCAGTGACTATGCAGACTCCGTGCCTGACCCCGAGGCCTTGAGGATTGAAGTGGATACATTCATGGAGGCATATGACCAGAAGATAGCTGAGGTAGGGTCTCCACAGGGACGGCCCAGCTCATCTTTGTGGCCTGGGGAAGGTGGTACCACAGGTGTCCTGGTGTGGCTCCCAAGGGGGAGGGGTGGTGGCATCCTGTCCTTGGTCACCCTGTAGAGTCCAGGCTCCCTTTTTCCCTGCTAATCCTGGGCCACCTGGCTGGGTGACATCTAGTCTCTAAATGGTCTGTAGGGGGTGGAGGAGGCAATGTCGCACTTCTGCACCCCCCCCCAGTGCTTGGCCCCAACACTGTGTTGTAGGGTGGGAGGTACAGCAGGGGGTAGCCTACACCTTTGGGTGCCCAGGGTGGTTCTGACTGCAGGGGTGGGGGTGGAGGAGGTGCTCTGCTGGAGGCTCTCAGGTGGGCCCAGGAGTACACTCTCCGGCCAAGGAGCCTGCCCCATCAGCAAGGTCGTGCTCCTTGCAGGAGGAGGCTAAGGCCAAGGAGGAGGAAGGAGTCCCTGACGAGGAGGGCTGGGTGAAGGTGACCCGCCGAGGCCGGCGGCCCGTGCTGCCCCGGACAGAGGCAGCCAGCCTGCGGGTGCTGGAGAGGGAGAGACGGAAGCGTGCCCGCAAGGAACTGCTCAACTTCTATGCCTGGCAGCACCGCGAGTCCAAGATGGAGCGTAAGAGAACACCCAGCTCCTGTCCTCAGGCCCCACTGCTCGTGGTGCCCAGCCATGGAGAGGCCTGCGGCCAGTGCTCCAGAGGGCGAGGAGGGAGATGGTCCTTAGGCACGGGCCTCCCAACAGGCTTGGTCTGAGGCCCAGGCTGGCAGCACCCCCTTTTGGTGGTCCTCTTGTCCCACCGGGACTGCTGCATTTGCCCAGTGGGTGGGGGCCCTGGCCCAGAGGGCCTGGAGGTGGGTCCTCCTCTGGGCCCCCGAGCTATTAGTGCTGGAACTTGTCAGCCTCCAGTGTGCAAGGAGTCCACTCGCAGAGGGTGGGTCTCAAGAGCCCATGGGTAGAGAGAAGGCACCGCCAAGTGTGTGGGGGACAGTGCGAGTGTGGGGTGTGGGCATGGGGGAGTGGGTGAGTGAGAATGTGTGTGTGTGTGTGTGTGTGTGTGTGTGTGTGTGTGTGTCAGGTGGCCCTGCGTGGCCACTCCCATGGCCGAGCACCTAATCACCTGTGCCCTCTTGGTGGTGCTGATGAGCTCATTGTCCTGTTACCTGGTGACCCTGCTTGCAGGGTGGCTTCCCAGGGGGCCCAGGAGAGGGTGCTGGCCCTGGCCTGGGCGTGGGCTGGGCTCTGCAGCAAGCCCTGACCACCTGCCCGGTCGCTGCCTCGCGGCCCCTCCGCACTCTGCCCGTCCCCCTCCCCCTCCCACACCTGTGCCCCTGCTCTTGTCCTCTCTAGACCCTCAGCTTCACCCAGCGGGCCTCTGTCAGCCTTCCCGGCAGCTGCTGGCCTGGGCTGCTTGGTGCCCAGAGTCACCTTCTGAACTCAACGGCACAGGGGGTGGAGTCTCTTTACCAATTCCTGAGGCCCCTCCAGTGGGCACAGTCAGGACTAGGGGGGCAGTGACCTCATCTTTCTTCGCCCCAGGCGGGGTGGGGCAGGGGCCTTTGCCTTCTCTGTGCTGCTCTTCTCGCTGGTGCCCATCCTGTCTCTGGTCAAGGCTCGTGCCAGCCTTGCCTCTGACTCGGCCTGCAGTTGAGTGCTGCTTGATCCAGACCACGTCCCCAGAGCAGAGAGGGGAGGGGAATGGGGGAAGCCGTGCTGAGCCCCCTCGTGGGAATGGGGGGAGGGGCAGGTGGCATGAGCAGGCGCCTTCTAGTGGAGGCAGAGGTCATAGCTCCCAGCCACGGTGCGTGCCTGACCCTGCTCTGTCTGTCTCCCACCCCTAGATCTAGCACAGCTGCGCAAGAAGTTCGAGGAGGACAAGCAGAGGATTGAACTGATGCGCGCTCAACGCAAGTTCCGACCCTACTGAGTGTCGCTGGCCGCTGGCCCCCACGGAGAGCGTCGTGGCTGGGCGGAGCTGCAGGGCCAGCGAGGCCATGGGCACCGGCAGGGCCTGCGCACACCCGGGGAGGCTGTGCTCTGGGAACGGGCACCAGACTGCATGGGCTGGGAGTGAAGGACAGTGTCACCCCTCTCGGTCCTTGTGCTTTAGCAGTCTGGGTCCAGCGCTGGCCAGGCCTGCCCAGCAGGAGGACTTGGCCCTCGGAAAGCAGCTCCTGTGTCCTGCCTCCAGACGCTCTGCTCTGCGCGTCCCTTCCCCTCAATGGAAAAGCCCTCTCTGGCAGTGAAACCACCTCAAAGCAGCAAGAATGCAAGTTTTATTTTCCATCCAGTCGGCAGCAGGGAAAGGCCCAGGTGGGCACTGCCAGCTCACTGGGGATTAGTAAGCACAAAAGAGACAACCCCAACTCCAGATGCTGTCTCCCTCTTGAAGTCACAGATGTTAAAGTTGGAATCTTGCCCCCCATCCCCCTAACTGCCAGCCCATGCTGGCCTGTTCCCACCACGCCTGACCTTGCAGGGGGCTTGGGAGCTCAGAGTCCCCATTGAGTCTGGTGAGCGCCAAGTCTCCGTGGCCCCCCAGGAGCTACAGCCGGGCTGGGGTCTTGTGCTTGCTCTGCAAAAAGGAGCCGATGAGGCCAACCAGGTGGTGGGGCTTCTCCATGTGGATATAGTGACTGCCGGGGACCTCCACATACTGGAACCGCTGGGGAAGGGAGGGGGCACATGGTGAGGTGAAGACAGGAGGTGGCACTGCCCAACCGTGACCAGCTGAGCCTGGGGAGCTCCACAGGCCCCCTGGGTGCATCCGGGCTCTGCTGGCGGGTCCGGAGTGTCCTGCGTGGGCTTTCCCCACACTCAGCTCCTTGGGCCTCAGTTCACAGCACCCTGGAGACTTAGAGACCACTCCAAGGGTCTAGGCCAGCTGAGTTGTGAGGTGACACACCTGGGACAGGGAGGGACCTGAAGGCAGGTTGCTGCTGGTGCTGACAGTCAGACAAGCTCTGCTTGAAAAAAACTAAGGAGATGGAGCCCGGGCAGCTTCCAGACTTGCTTCCGCTCCAGGAGAAAACGCCGTAACAGGGAGGCCCCTGTGTCCTGGTTCTGACCTGGGGCCGGTCAGCCACAGAAGGGCTGCCCTTTGTGGCAACGCAAGGATGTCTGCAGAGGCCCCAGGGTCAGGTGTTCTTGGGTGATGCTGCCAGGAACCGGGGCAGGGGTCACAGCATAAGCCGCCGCCCCCCCAATTCTGCTCCCCACCCTGCAGCCTGCCACGCCCACCAGGTGCAGGTCCCGGGAACCGGGGAGAAGCAGCAAGGTGATCTGCTCTGGGCTTGGGACCTTCTAAAATGTGGGACTGCCCCTGGCAGTTGGGTCACTGAGTTGTGCCTGGTCCAGGGGGACACATGAGGGCAATAAAATGAAGATTCTGCCAATAGAGGTCTCTGTTTCCATGCTGACTACATGCAATCCTGGTTCTCCAGGTACCACTGTGGAGATCAAGGCCTGACAGCTCCCAGGGGTCACTAGTGGGACCTGGGACCAGACCAGGGGTCCCAGTGCAAGAGAAGAGATGGGTGAAGTGGGCCCAGAGTGGGTAACAATGGCCTGACACCACCTGGGCACCAGCCACCTGAGCCCTGTGCACCTTACTTCTTTTAGGACTGATTTCAGCGTGTCGATCATGAAGAACAGGCTCCCTCTTGGTGTCGTTCTCTCTTCTCACGTCAGAAAATCCTTTGGTTGCTCTGGAAAGCAAGAAGAAATCAGGGTTCATCTTAGGACTGCCTCCTAGCAGTGCTCTTGTTCCACCCCCAGTTCCAGGCCTCTGGAAACCAAGCCGGGGCCACCCCAGACTTTCCTACAGCTGGGTCCCTTTGGGCTTAGATTTAGTTTGAGATGCAGTCACTTATCACCAGCTCGCACTCACAACTGGCCACAGGCGAAGTGCTTAAGATGTACCCTGCTAGGATTTGGGGTCCCACAGTCACAGCCACTGAATGGCAGAGCTGGGATCTGAACAGGCTCTTGGGTCCTGCTTTGCTTTTTCGTTTTTTAAGCAGCTTTACTGAGATACAATTTACCATGCAATCCTCCCCTTGAAAGCGAAAGTGCGCGCTTCATGGTTTTTAGTATATTCAGGGCTGTGCAACCATCACCTCAATCATAGGACATTTTTGTCACCCCCTAACGAAACCTTGAACCTCTAGCTTTCACACACGCACACCCCCCGCCTGCTTCCAGCCTCGCACAGCCACTTCTGTCTGGATTGCCCCACCTGCAATTCAGTGTGAAAGGACTCACGAGGTGTAGACCTGTGTCTGGCGTAGTGTTTCAAGGTTCCCCCATAGCGTGGCACATCAGGACTTCTTTCTATGGCTTCAAAATCGCCCATTGTATGGATTGCCCACATTTTGCCCATTTGTTTGCCCACTGGTGGGTATCTGGGCTGTCCCCACCTTTTGGCTATTAAAGAATGCTGCTGTAAGTGTCCGTGTACAAGTTGGCTGCACCATTTTGCAATCCCACCGCAGTGTGTGAAGGTTCTGGTTTCTCCATGTGGTCACCATTACTTGTTATCTGATTTGCTCTCCCCTCGTTTACCTTCCTCCTTCCACAAACCCTCTGCCAGGGGGCTTCCCAAGAAAGATCCCAAGCCACAGCAGTGTGGTGGCACTCCGGAGGACTGGGAGCCTCCCGCCAAGGCTCCCTGCTGGAGATTCCTGGCGTCTACGTATCTCTCAGGGTGACCAAAGGGCACTGGCTCTAGACTTACTTGAGGAGCAGGACGTGGGCCTGCAGCTTCCTGATAGAGTGCACACACAGCTCCTTGCTGATGAAATCAAAGGAATTCTCCGCCTGCAGAGACGAAACCATGGTGAATTCTCGCCACCAGATACCCGGCACTCCTGTGGCCCAAACCCTGGCTCTGCTGGGGCAGCTGGGTCCTTGTGAGGCCACCTCAGCCATCCATCTGGGACCCAGCCGGTGGCTAGAGACTCCCAATGCCCAAATCTGTTCTCCCCTCCTCCTGGGTTCAGACTCCACTTCCAGACTCCTTACTGCTGGGCGTGGTTATGTGACTAAAGGTAGAGAAGTGACTTAGGCCACTTCTGGGCCTGGATTTTAGGACTGAGGTGTGGCCACACCCCCTTTCCAGGTCCACAGGTCCCCTCACAGCACTGTCCTGCCAGCCTGGTGGGGCCCTGGCCTCTCTGCTGAGTGGAGCCCAGCCACCTTCACAGGGCTGTTTCCATGAGAAAGAAATTCACTTGGCCCGCAGTGAAGAACAGTCCACATTGCTGTCCCCTGTTGGTCTCCAGCACAGCCCTGCCTGCCGACTCTTCCATGTTTCTAGGTCTGCACCATCCCACATGGCAAGTGCCAGCCACCTGGGGCCACCGAGTGCTGGAAATGCAGTTAGTCCCAACTGAGATGCACTGTAGGTGTGAAAGGCACACTGGGTTTGGAAGGCTTACTATGAAAAAATCATGTAATCAAATTTTGTGTTGACTACGTCTTGAAATGATAACATCTTGGATACATTGAGTTAAATAAAAATATTAGAACGATTGATTGCAACTGTTTTCTTTGTACTCTTTTTTTTTTTTTTGAGACAGAGTCTCACTGTGTTGCCCAGGCTAGAGTGCCGTGGCATCAGCGTAGCTCACAGCAACCTCAAATTCCTGGGCTCAAGCGATCCTTCTGCCTCAGCCTCCCGAGTAGCTGGGACTATAGGCATGCGCCACCACGCCCGGCTAGTTTTTTCTATATATTTTAGTTGTCCGATTAATTTCTTTCTAATTTTAGTAGAGACAGGGTCTCACTCTTGCTCAGGCTGGTCTCGAACTCCTGAGCTCAAACGATCCTCCCACCTTGGCCTCCGAGAGTGCTAGGATTACAGACGTGAGCCACCGCGCCCAGCCTCTTTGTACTTTTTTAATACAGCTACTAGAAAATGTCACATTACACCTGGCTCACATTCTACTTCCACCAGATTGTGCTAATCTGGTCTGGGGACTCACCAAGGGTAGAAGCTCCCATAATTTTCTCTGTATCCATAGAGAGTGTGTCTCATTCCAGATTAGCCCACTTCTGCACCAAGGCCCCTCTGGGCCAGCCATCTACTCGGGGCACACCAGGGAAGCCTGGGCCCACGGCCTCGACCTCCCCTCTCTGCAGTGGGTTTGCAGGGAGGCAAGACAAGGTTCAAAGACAGTAACAAAGACCCAGCAGGTCACAAACTGGCAGCCTGAGGCCAGAACAGCCCATAGGGATATTGTGTGAGACCCTCACAGTGTGTTGTCAATTTCTGGATTGGTTCCCAATACCTAAAAATACATAGGTTTCCTAAAGCAACTGGAAATTCTGGCCACACTAGACCTGAATTCCCACATGACATCCTGAAGCCCCTACCCCTCTGTACTGCCTCCCTCCCAGCAGCAGGATTAGCCCCAGGACTGGCCCAGCCCCCACAGGCCTGTGGGCTTTTGACCTCTGCCTTGTTTGGTACTTTGTAAACCGGAGTCACTTTCACCACCTCGCCTGACCCCACCAGCTCAGGAGCACCGAGATCCCAGGACCGGAGCAACCAGCGAGTCTAGAAGGGGAGGCTCAGCTAGCAGAACTGGGAGTCAGAGCCGGGTCTTTCGGCCTAGTTTAGCGCACGTGCCCCCGACCACGCCATCTCCCTCCAGCTTCTGCCTCCCCTCCGCAGAGCTGCTTCCGGGACCACCTCTCAGAGCAGTCCCCGTGGTCTCTTCCAGAGCACTCCTTGCATTTCCTTTGTTACCCTGCAGAATGTCTGCCCACTGAGTTGTCTGTTTGCCTGTTCATCACCTGTGTCTCCTCCTAGGATGTGGGTCCCCATGCAGCCTCCTCTTTGTTCAACTCCCAGGTGGCACTTCCAGGTCCCCACCCAGCCTCCTCTTTGTTCAACTCCCAGGTGGCACTTCCACCTGGGAATGGCAGCGCTTGGAGCTGCCCTGGCCCCACGGAGAGGGACCTGCTCACTGGCAGCCCCCGCAGCCTCGCAGATCTTCAGAAGAGGTTTTCTGAATGAATGTATTAGAATGTATTAGAAAACAAAGTGCAGAAAATGCTCATGCCAGAGGCTGCCCTGAAGCCAAGGTACCACCTATGCCACCTCTGCATAGTGAAAAGCCCCTTCAGAGTCACTCGGCCCCTTGGGACATCCTTGCAGCCTCCCTCCAGCACTGGCACCCACCCCACAGGTCCAGCAGAGCACAGCCACAGCATTCACCATTTAGTCCCAAGACAGGGACCAAACTCCCTACAGAGCGTGGCTTTCTAGGACACGCTGTGGCCATCTGGCCTTGCTAAGTCTCTGGGCCACACCCAGCCTCAGCATCTCCTGCTCCGAATGGGCTGCGGGGGGCGTGAGGAGGACTCGATGAGAGGCTGTGCGAGAAGCACTCAGCGTCCCGCCTGGTCCAGTGCCAGTCCTCGATATCCTTGCTCAGAAAGAACAGCGATGACGTGCAGTGGCCTCGGACAGAGAGACACTTACCTGTGCCCACCTTCGTGGCTCCTCGCTGCAGGAGGAGCTCTGCACAATCCTTGCTCATCTGCCTGTTCTTCAAGAACCTGCAGGAGACAGAAGGACGGTGGGAGCCTTGGGGCTGGGGGTCAGATGAAAAGGAGAGAAGGGCAGTGAAAGGGGGGTCGCCCCCAAAGGATGCATGCCTGCCCCCCACGTGTGGATGACATGTTCACAGCAGCGGGACGTGTGCATGTGTGTGTTTCTACTCCTTTAGACAGCAAACATTTATGGAGCCCTGACCCCCTGGGCACGCTGTCAGATGCAGAACACACAAACGTAACCAGGACAGCCACGGTGGGGCTGTGGGGCTCACAGGCACCAGGAAACTGGGGAGTCAGTAGGCTCTTAATGGAGGTACAGTCACCTCCAGGGCAGGGAGGGGCAGCTCAGCTGGGGGAGTCCGGGCGGCTTCCGGAGGGAGTGGCAGCCAGCGGAAGCCCCAGGGAGGAGAGGGGAAGTCGGCAAGGTGCAGGGGAGAATGCCAGGCAGAGGGCGCTGCAGGATGAAATACCATGGGGAGAGGCGGTGTGGAAGGAAAGCGTGCGCTTGTGGGTGTGTGCGCGTGCGTACGTGTGCACGCTTTCTGGGAGAGGAAGGGGTGTGAGGTGTGGAGAGGGACGCTGGAAGAGAAGGCCATGGCTGTCGCGAGGGGCAGAGGGTGAGGCAGATGAAGTCCCCACTGGGGTGGCTAAAGACTGGCTAGGGAGCCTGTGCTTGGGGTGACCGACCACAGGCAGAAACAGGCTTGGCAGGCAAGTAGGAGAAAGCAGCTTCTCGATGTCTCCCGGGCCTTCCTCCCCTGGTTCCCGCGACCCCCCCACCGCCCTCCCCACCCCTTTGCTGAGCACCCACCCCTGTATCATCTCCTCCGGGCTGATCACGCTCGGGGGCTTCTGCAAGGCCTCCACCTGCAGCACGTGCTCTATGGCTCTCCTCTTGTAGGTCACCACGTTCTCCATTTCCTAAGGGTTTGCCGTTGGCCGGGTGGGCAGGCTGGGGCTGCAGACAAGGGCCCCAGCCCACCCCACCCCGCCCTCTGGGCACAGCCAGCCAAGCTCGGCCTGCAGCCAGGGACCAGGTTGGATGATGGAGAGGAAAGCAGATCTCTGTCAGCTGCCAAGTGCCTTGCAAAGGTATGCCATTAGGTCGGGGACCGTCAGGGGTTGTCGATTTCATCTGGTTCAACTAATGCCACCACTGCGGATGGCAGAGAAGAGGATGGCAGCAGGGAGTGCAGCTCTGGGGCTTCCAAACCCCTACTGTGCGGCTCACTCTGTGAGAACAGCCTCGCCCTGTCTGCCGGTCCACTGCCTGGGGTGCAGCGGGAGGTGCCGTTCTCCCTACTCCAGCTATAGGAGCCCCCAGGTGGCCAAGCAAGGCCATCTACTCACCATTGCGGCCACAGTGCCACCTGGGGGACAAAGGAGCAGTTGATGACATCCCCTCACTCCCTCCCCAGCTATAAAACTCTTCCTAAAGCTTCTTCCCAGGGGCTCCCACCCCCCAGGCTAGAGACCCAGCTGCTTCCCGTCAGTGGGTGGGGGCTCCTTATTGCTCTTAAACTCAGGGCTCCCTCCCCTGGGCCATAATGGCCCCTTCGTCAGCCCTGACCACTCAACAGGCCACACTTCACTTGTGGAATGGGAGACAGCCACCTATGGGGCCATCTGTTCCTCAGGGGAGTTGCCTGAGGTCAGACAGCACAGTGCTCAAAGGTCACTACCTAACTTACCTTTTCATCTCTCCCTGCAGTTCTCAGAGGCACAGGGGAAGGTGCCAGTGTACTGACCCCTCCCCCTGCCTCACAGCCCCCCACCACTGCCCCTGGCCAAAGTGCACTCACCGAAACTGTGGCCCATGAAGGAAAAGCGACTCCATCTCATGGCTGCAAACACAAGGCGCCAGAAGGTCCAGATGGGCCCAGCCTCGGCCGCCCTCTCTCCTACAGTCCTGGGCTCGGGAAATCAGGGTACCCACCCAGAAGACCAGCCTGGGGGGCCCCAGCTCCCCTGGAGGGGGTACCCAAAGGAGGGAGCGAGCTCTTCAACTTTCCCAAAGCCACCCATGACTTGCTGGCAGAACTGGGGCCAGACCCCAGGCACCTACTCCAAGCCAAGGCTGCTTCCTGGATACCACACCCCTCCAACGGTAAGAGGGGATGTCCCAGAGCCCATGCCCCCACACACACTGCCTCTTACTCACCTTCCACGACTCTTCGGACCTCACACACAAAGTTGTGGTGGTAATATGGGAACCCGGACTGTAACGGGACGAGAGCCCATGACCTCCGAAATCCATGACAACGTAATGGAAGTCTGAAACAGAGAGAAGTGGGCAGGAGGAAGTGTCTACACCAGCCATCTCTTGCCCTCCTCGGCCCCCTTCAGCCCCAGCCCCACCTTGCGGGAGAAGAGGGATGAGTCTGTTGAAGGAGTTGGCGTTGTCCAGCCAGCCGTGCAGGCAGAGAACTGGGGGGCCCCGCGCAAAGCCCCGGGTTTTGGCGGCGATGTGGCCCCAGGGCACGGTCAGCTTCAGCTCTGAGAGCATCCCTGAAAGAGAGCCAGTCATTCACTCCCTCACTCGCCCATTCCTGGAGCTGGCACTTCACTATGCCCCCACGCGTGTCAGAGCTCCCCAGAGGGGCTCACACGTCTGAGCTGCCCCACGAGGAGAGAGAGCCAGACATGGATGTGGGGCCACCCAGACGACAGAAAGATGAACCACGTCTACCGGGTGAGGAAAATTCTGGGGCAGCCCTCACGGGATGCAACCCATTTGAGCAGAACTTTGTAGAATGTGCTGAGGGGGGGTGGCCAGGCATGGACCCCTTCGCTTGCTGGCTGTGTGAACCTGGGCAAGTTACGGAAACCTCTTGAGCCTCAGTTTCCTTCTCTGTAAAACCAGAGTGAACAGAATCACAACAGCTAATTTTCTGAGCCTTTCTAGGGCCAGCAGGGGTCCGAACAGTCCACACACGCTAGCTCCCCTCGTCCTCAGCATGCCACCCTCACTTCACAGGGAAGGAAACTGAGGCCCTGGGAGGTGTAGTAAGCGCCCAAGTTCACACACGGAGAGGGCGGACTGAGGATTTAGAGTAGGCGGCTCCGCTTCAGGCCCCAGGGCCCAGCACCCACGGCACGCGGCCTCTGGCCTGGGGGCTCCGGGACCCCGAGAGGACACGTCCGGCCGCTCCGGCTCTGCTGGCCTCGCCGACTGCGGACGAAGGAGCTGCGTGCGACACCCGGAAGGGCGGCGAGGTCAGCGAACCCTGCCTCCCCTCCCCCCTCAGTCCCAAGTAGGCGGGTGGGCAGGCGGGTGCTCGTGCGTGGCCTCCTCATGTTCCACTCGGCTCTAGGGCCCTGGTGGGGCGTCTTTGCCCATCGCTCTGCTCCGGCGGACTCGGGCCGGCACCCCCGCGGCGTCGAGGTCGCGCGAAGACAGGGCGGCCACAGTTCCGAGTCCCGCCCCCGCCGGCTCCTTCGCTGCAGGCCCCGCCCGCGCCCGCGCGCGCCCGTGCTCGCCCGCGGAGCCCGTCGGCCGCGCAGCTGGGGCGCCCCGGCGCTGTCGCCGAGGTCTCCGAAGCTGGCGGCTACGGGACGGCGCCCCCACCCTGGGCAGTTGCAGTGGCCGCCGCCCCCCGCGCGGGACCGGGAGCCGGCCAAGGCCTAGGAGCAACCGCAGCTGGGCGTCCCCTGGGTCCTCGCTGACCCGCGCTGCAGGGCTAGAGGCGGGTGACTCCGTTTAGTGGTTTGAACGGCCTCCTTAGCCTGCGTCCGCCGTGCTCCTCCCGTGTCCTGGGGTCTCAGCAGCGCCGGGCACAAACCAGTCTTCATAGTTGTTGGACAGATGAACGAATGAAGGTATAAACTGGGGGCGTGGGGGAACCCCCCAAGTGAGGAGGGATTACAAACAATATCATCCCGCCTGGAAGGGATCAGGAACCCCAAGTCATGAAGAGGATGTTTGTTCAGACTGAGACCTGA